AAAAAATGTCAGTTACTATAAATGGATGAGAAAGTAATGTGCTACTTTACACAACTACTTTGTGGACAGTGGCAGTATAACTAGTTATTTTTTAAAATCAAGTTCCCCAGTGGGCTTGATTAATTATCTTCAAAGCTAATAGAGGTCTACCTCTTCAAGGCTTTCCATCTTCAGATGGATGGTAGAGCCCAGGCAAGGTGGAAAACCTCATTTGAGCTCCACACCTTGTTTATGTGAAGCTTTTCCAGAAGAGGCTAGTCTCAGGCATTTATTGTGGAGTCCAAAATATGAGTAGGAGATGGGTATGCTGCTCTCTATCATTTATAAGTATACAATAAACGCATGGATCGTGTTTTCATCATTTTTCCCTCCCTAACAAAAATGGTACCCCTACATGCCCTTGTTACTAGCATACTTGGTTCTACCCTCATATTAATAGGCAAGAAATTACTAAGCTACTTCCAGCAAGAATTTTTACTGTGAGAGAGACTGTAAATACATCTGGTCAGTGGCTTATATATGGAAGTGTAACACAGTTGTAGGTAATTGTTTAGGATAGTTGCAATCTGTTTTTTCTCTTCTGGATGCTGCCATGTTTTATGAGGTTCCAATCTGCTGCTTTCTACAAGGAACATCTCATCAACTGAGGCAGACAGGTTGGCTCTCTCCTGCCCACTTTGGCTGGCTGTTCTAGGAAACTATACAAAAACCCAGTACATTTTGCATATCTGCAAATTGTACACAGTGGAGGACAACTTTATGTGCTTCTGTGAAAAGAAAAATGGCTTAATAATTAGTTTGCTTATACAGAATAAATGGTGACTTCTGGTTTTTGCTGTTTCAGTTCTTGGCTGCCTTTCTCCATTCCCTATCTTCTCTATCTTTTGTAGCAACCGGTAATTAGAAATTCAGAGTCAGAAAAGTGAGACAGAAATGATAAGCAACCAATCTGGAGACTATCTAACATATGACAGCGGCAGCAAAAATATGTGCTATCACTAGACTGGATGAAAATGGTTTCCTGGATGCCTCAGAGCCCCAAACCTGGTCACTGTAGGCTTCCTTCTACGCTTCCAGCAAAGTCCCAAGTATCCATTGTCCTTTCCCTCTCAACACTGGCACTTACTCTCAGCTTCAGGGGAAAGGAATGAACTTCAGTTCAGTGGATCACAACACAAGATAGCTATTCATGGACCAAAATGAATTCCTGTCATACAGTTTTCAAGCAAAGGAAGCTTCTCCTGGGGGGAGGGGGCTTTGCTCATCTCTATCATTAGGCAAAGTGAGAAAGCTGTTCAGAACAAAAGTGATGTGTCGAAGGACCCAGCTCTATGTGCCATTGGTTGTTGTTGTGAACTGCCTTCACGTTGATCTTGATCCATGGTGACCCTATGGATGAGACATGATGCTGAACATTATCCTATACTTGAATAAATTAATTAGTAGTATAACTTTGGAATTTGCTAGGGTAGATGGCTCATTCTCTGGTAAGTTCATTAAGACAGAAAGGATTAAAGAGAAGCAGAATTAGGATAGCAGAATATAATAGATAGGCTTTGGGACATTAACAAAGAAT